TTTTCGTTTACGTGTAACAACGAGTTCTATATATTTTCGTTATTATTTCCAGCGAGATTATGGACAAAGCGTCCACTTAATGTTAGTCACTTTTATCCGAATACAAAATGAGAATGAAAATAACAATTCGAACAGTCAGTATGATCATGTGCAGTGAAGAAGTAGAACTTATGTGTGTGTGCAAACAACTATTGGAATAGAATTATAATAATTGACTTGGTCTATTCCACAATGCACACAATACAACTACACACGGACACCGTGTATAACCTCAATGTTACATTCAATTACAATAAATTACGTGACGAATACTCGTGTTCTTCTCATTGATCTCACTACACTGACTACGTTTCCACTAATCCCTGTGCATAACGAAATGTTCACTTATGTTCCAGTGTGAACAATCTTCATTCGTGTGTGATCACAATGGCATAGATATGTCCACCATTTGGATACAGTGGGAAATATATAATGGCTTTCCCCTTTACACTGTGGCAATAATAATTCGACTATGCACACTTCTACGTTGCTCACGATATTGGTATTGTCAGTTGTGATGATGGGCGACCAGGTTGTACGGGCTTCAGGTATGTTTTCTTGTGATGTGCAATATACTGTGATTATAGTAGATTTGTGTTCATTAGGTCGGTTGGGTATTATTCGATATTTGGTAGATGCCTAATTTACTGTTCAGCTATTCTGAATGTCGGTTGATCCACTTTGTGTAGTAATGTCGTTGATGTAGAGGCGTTCACGAGGGTAGACTTCAACTTCACTCTGTTGATAACTTGCATGATAATTGTGTTTGTGAGCATGAGATGCTTCGTCAATTTCGGAGTGTCATGTTTACATTAGATGAATCCGATAGCAAGGAAATGTGTGAAATATTGATATTCTTAAGAATAGGAAAGCATTGTGATTGTTTTCGGTAGATCCGTGTCTCCATTGTTTAGCATAGATGTGACTTAGATGTGGTTTCTCCACTGTGTAATATCTACACTATGTCGTAACTGGTCTGTTGCTCATGTGTAACTGTACACACAATGAACCCTGTTTATTGCTTGATGTACATCGTCGTGCTCTGTATCTTGTCTGGCATGTAGCCTAGTTGATAACTGAACAGCTTCTCGATTGATGACAGTGTCAGTGAAGTTGAGTTCAGAATATCATGGCTCATTATTATTCATCTGTGTTCACTGCATTAGTTCTCAATTGAATGGAATGCACACTATAGATCAATTGTCAAGACACGAACAAGTCAAATATTCTTTGTAAAAATGATATGAGTAAACTTTCAGCGAAGTTGAAATGACCGACTTAAATGGTTTCGTTCAGGAAACTGGTCCGAACTTCTTCAGGGAAATCAATTGAAATTAACACAAGAGAGATTTATGTATAAAAAGGATATCTCATGTCTTTGAAAACTTTGTCCTTTAGTACGAGTCATGAAACAGGCATCAACATGTATAATAAACAAAATTGTATGAGCGGTGATCGAAATTTGACCTCAGACTTTCAAATGTTGGTCAACTTCAGTTATACACTTTGAACAGAGTGTACTTTTCATCAGATTACGTTTGACTGAATTTTGATGGTCGTAGATAACTGAATATGAAAATATATGTGCATATGAAGTATACAATGATGTGTTTATGAGTGTTTTGTTAAACAGTTGTAAAACATTTGTTAGCCTCTCCATCAGAAGATATAGACAATCAGGAATTTATACCAAGTATGAATAATTAGTGATAGATATCCATCTCATCTGTTTTCTAGTTTCTTTAGGTCTGCAGAGATCTTTGGAACCACTTTCAGACATCGTTTATGCTCTTTCACTCTTATATTTAGCTGGCTGGGAGTTTCTACTACATATACGGCGACGCAGTCAGGGACTCACCACTGTCAATAACCAAATTATTACCAACAGATTTTCATCCATCCTTTTCTTCACATTTTGAATATGTCTCTATGAAGCATTAAGGATAATTACTTGATTCCATCAGAAGTTTCAAGTTCATCTAATTAGGTGTAATGGAAATAAAAGAAGTCGACTGAAAGAATAAAACTGCCTGTCAAACATCCTACAGAGTGTCTCTGATTTTCATCGAAATTTGTTTTCCTCCAAAGATTCCGACTTCTCAGCCTTTGTTGAAATTTGTAAGAACTCAGTATCAAAGCCATGTTGTGAGGGTTTTGTGTGTAAACGATTTGCGACACGGAATGGTGGATGTCTTACATCTTGAGAATTGCGATCATCGTGTCTCTTCGATGGAGAGTATCGCATTCGGACATGCGCTCACCATGTTCGCGAACCTAATATACCCTTATTTCAGCGAATGCGTCGCGTTGTCATATATTTTATTGCAAATAGTAGTTAGAACAATAGGCTTGCAAACTGACTAGTCAGGAAATTGATATTCACAACTGCATGTGCATCACCGGTGATTTCAAAATCGGCGACAGCGCATTTCATTAACGTGTAGAATTTCGCCAACTGATTAAGTTGAGATAAATCACTTTTTACCTGTCTTTCATGTTTGCTCATAACCACCTGATATTTTTATCCCACATCACACGAATCGAAGAAAATCACCCAATCCACATGCTTGTCATCCGTACTAAACTATTCAGCCACTTGTTTGCCTGTTCATATTAGTTAGGTGTTTGTGAGTGAAATATGTCTGATGCTGTGTGATTTGTGTTCGTTATCTCATATTCAAATAATGATGCACGAATTGATTGCGCCAGACTCCGATGGCGTCAACTGTATGCGAAGCAGGAACTACTGATATTAGTCGGAAAGTGGCAAACAACTACCCTGAGTCGAATTGTGTTTCATTAGTACCAATTGTCACAAGATTGACGCGTTCACCAACAGAATATATTCGGATATATAAATGGTGGATATTGCTGTGTTAGAAAAGCATCTCAACTATTCACAATTCAGTGCTGTCCATCACATTTCTAATGTTCATTTCCCTACCATAGTCACATTATTAATTATAATTCATTCTTGACAATTTCATGTTGACTTTCAAAGCAAACTGCGCCACTCCTTTTCATGAAATACAAATATCTTTGTATTTGTTTTCTTTCAAAGGACAACAATCTTGTGAGTGTGTGGATTCCGATTTTAATAGTTCTATGTTTGCAAAGTGTTGCAGCCTTTCTCGATGTCGACGTCGCAAATCAACAGGTATTCAATTCTGTTGTCAACGAAGGCATGGACTTTGTGAGGTAGATGAAGACTGCTGTGAAAAAAAATGTCGAAATTCTCGATGTGGTAACTGGAAATGAAAACTGAAATGTGAAATTTGTTTGTGGATGTCAAAATAATGGGAAATAAATCACTTTTGACAAATTCCTTTTTTCTGATTACAAATTAACAGCTTCATTCGATATCTCAAGAATTCAGGGTAATTGCCAATCTCACGTGATCTCCGAAATCAGCTAGTCAGTTGTAAATGTGTTAACAGAAGTTTGCTGATCAAGTGGTCTCAGTGAATAATAAATGAACTGATGTAGTTGATTTCACTGAAAGTTACACTGTCAATCTACACAGCGTATGATTAACATGTTCGCGGTTGAATACATTCCTTCACTGGCTTAAAATAGGTGGCATCGAGTATTTCCTGTGGTGTGCATACAAACTCGTATTCAACGACCAGTAGTCGATTCTTGTGTTTATTAATGCGATCGAAGATAAACGAATGCAATTCTAGAATTCACAAATATAGTGAAAGGTGAGTAAAGTGTATTCCTGCCTACACTCCGTCTATCGAAAAGATTGCGTAACGGAGAGCGGATATCTTGGATTTTACAGATGGATATTTGATGCATGAAACAACCACATTCAGCCTAGATGCATCTCGCATTTGAGCATTCAGAGTATGAGGTTCTCTGTGTGTCGAGATAGATGTTTTATTTATTTTATTTTATTTTTTTGGATTACAGCTTGATACCACACCGTATTTGCCGAACAATTATGGAATTTATGACATGGATATCAGTAGCCCAAATTTTGCAGGCTGACCATAGATATCGGGTGAGTATCGGCATGGAATCGAACCCCGTACCATGTACATGGTCGAAGACAGTCCTAAGCACTATGTCACCGACGAACTGTAATTTGTGGACTACAACGTCAAACTTAATTTCACTTTTGTGAAATACAGGAATATGTACGCATGAATTTCTGTAGCTGGAAATTAGGACAAAAGATGTAGAAGTCGACGAGACATGTATTCAAGTAATAAAAGGTGCCTACCAATAGATGACACCATAGCGGTTTCTAACTGCACCCATCAGGTTGAGTGTTTATTCTGCTTATTCGCCACTGGTTCACTGTACCAGATAAATTGTATCTGTTGGCTGTTACTTCAGAATCCAGTATTCACTGTGTATGTTAATTAGGGAAAATTGTTCTGAAGAGACGGTTGCATTGACAATGTCTTTCAGGGTTACGAAATGAGAAGTGCATGAGTAGTAAGCAAGCCATTAAACATTTCAAACACTCTGATTGCAACGACCATGTCCGTCAACAGTAGATGACTATTCATTTTTGACAAATGATTCCTCATTCTCGAGTGTTCAGTCATCAGTTTTTGAAATCAGGAAAGAATTCATTCACACTTGACAATGTTTCCTTTGCTATTGAAACATTAGAAATACACTGAGGATATATTTCTCCATGAGATGTTTGGTCATAGTCACTGAGAGCGAAAACGACGACAAAATCAACTTCAAAGTTGAGAGAGAGGCAGATAGGTGAATGAACTGACGTCTTTCGAATCCGTCCTACTGATCGTGACTTTGGAATTTTGTTGTTGGTTAAGTAACTTCAACCCCTTTTGTGTTATCTTTGTTTGATAGAAGTTCTGTGTTGACCGCCCCTTCCACTGACTTGTAGATTTTCTCTTGTATGATATTTGGCATAAATCACCCGCCATTTACGTCCGAACCATGGCTAGTATATATAAAGTATAGTAGAATGAATCAGGTTAAATTTCTTTGCCAATATGCCAAATATTTACACTGAACTTCAGTTTGTTTATTGAAGTAGATATGGATGTTTTTTCTACTTCTGTTTCATTGTTATCGTTAATTTTCTCTTTTTTTGCATCCAGGCGAAATGAAATGACACTTGTAGTCACCATGTGATGTTGTGATTTCGTAAACACAGCAAAATACCAAATATTCTTTCGTTGACATAAACGTTGTGTAAACATTCTCATTTGACAATGATTACACATCGTTGAAGTAACAAGTGTTTCAGCAAAGATTCTCTTCTGGACCAATAACAGGTGAGCACATTGATACACTTGGAGTTTAACAACACTGGGAACATATTCTTAAAAGTAATGATGCACCAATGGACATCTAGAGTACGTTATTGATGGAGTGGCAGTGAAAAGTGTTCTATCTGATGACCTCATCAAAGCGTTTGTAGAAACTTTACTCGCAATGTGACTCATTCACTCATGCGCTTCTTTAATAGAATTTACTAGCAGCTACAACAGAGTGTAACGGATATTCATTTTTGACAGTTTCACTGATAGTCTATATAGAACTTTGTATAGAAGTTATACATTTCATGTGTCAAACGAAGCAGAGGAAGTTAAAGAAGGAAGATATTCAGAAGATATCCATCCAGTGAGCAGAAATGTGCCAGAGTGGGAGAAGGAATAGTAGCATGTTAATTCAGGAGGTTTCAATGGATACTAGAGATTACAAGATGACTATGCGCCTACGTCATTGACAACAGTTTCGATTCATACCACTAAAAAGCCTCAACAAATGATCCTTCTCATGCAAAAGATCTCAACCAGACAGTCTACACTTGGCTACCTGGTTGGCTTAAAAAGATTATTAGAAACTTCTCTACCATTTGTGATAATGCAATTTTGAACATAAGAGAATTTTCTTCTTTAAAATCTTTGTGTTAAGTGTCGATAGAATTTATCGATTTAAGATAATGTTTAAATTTTAGAAGCAGTCGACTGCCATTTCCAAGACTTCACAGCATAGTCTATTCAATCCCGTCGGCCATTAACCTATATCTCTCATTAAAATACTGCGGTTTCGGCTGACTTCTATACTAACGAATTGGCAGTCACACAGGTAACCTATTGGATATCATGAGTTTTACACATTCATATGCCATATTATGACACAAATTCAATCTATCCATCTTCCGACTCCTATTACGCGAGACACCATCAGTTATTCTTCTTAAATACCAAAATTGTATTTGCAGCTTAAATCAATCTTCTTTTCGTTAGGTCATCCTTTCTCAGGACTCCCTCCATTTTCCTTTCTCATGAAGTTTATTTAACCAAGTGTATTTCCTTCTAGTCATTTAGCTGAATTCCAGTGGATTCAGTGGGCTGCTAATGATGATAATGAGACTTTTCGTTTTCTATAGTAACTGTTCAGTATTCAGTAGATCTGTTTACATTTGTTTCAAACAAACGAATGTATTTCTTTGAAGCATTTCCAATCATTTTACTTTTAGATGATTTCTGTTCAAGTCAAGTACGTTTAGGTCTGTCTGATACTGTGATTCATGTACATCACTCACGTCTGTATCTGTCTGATCCAGTTAGTATTTTGTTCCCTCGATAACTGTCTATCGACTTTTCTCATTATCAAGCAATTGATTTATGTTTGCGAATGAACACTTGACGATCACTTACTCCTCGTTATTAATTTTTGATCGATAGCCTTCCGGGCAGATCTTTGTGTTTCAAGCCTGACTGACTTCACTGCCAAACTTCCCTTATTGCAAGCCTTGCTACTGGCTAAGAGGCGTGTATAAGGCTGACTCCATCTAAGTTTTCTACATTTTCAAATCAGGGACCACAAGACATCATTGGTATGATGTATCAGTATCTAAATCGGAAGTCGGAAGCAGGATCTTCACAGCCAGTATGCTAACTATTACGTCACTGGAATGGCTTATCGACTACAACTGCCACCAACAAGCGGGATATTTTTATAAACATGAACTGTTGACGTTCTCATCGAAAAGTTGGCCTCTTTGGTATCATTTCTCTCCTCTGTATGATGTATTGAGAAGGCTTCAGCGGCCAGCTTCCTACATTCCTTCAAGTCACACAACTAATAACCCAGATATGGACAATAACTATGGATAATCAAAGACGATTTATTATGAATCTATCCGTAAACCAGGTGATTAAAAATAACATACCAAGCATAAATCACCATCAAATTGGATGCAAAATAATTGGCTTGTGTATATGATGACATATTCCTACCAAAACTAAGCCCTATTTACATAATTAATTGAAATGTAAGCGCACATGAGTGAATATAATCAAAGTAGACTAGTTTCTGTTGTAATCATGTTATTAAACTGATGAGATGATCCAACTCCTACAAATCACACATCGCCACATAAAATCGTTGATCACTGATCGTTATGCTAGAAATATGTAGGCAACTGAATCTAATTCATGTATGCGTAGAACTTTTGTGACATAATAATAATTCCAAAGTAGGTAGGGTTATTTAAACTATAACGTATGCAGTGATATTTTCTGTAGTTGGTTTGTAAGGAATAATTTTGCTTTCACAAGTTGATCAGTGATTGATATCAGTTAGAGAAATATTGAAAAAAAGCCCTGGACAGCTTTTTCATCCTAGTTTTGGAGCCATCGTCAGTACGCACCAACTGCCAGGGTGAGAACTCAGGATCTTCTGGTTACATGACAAGCTCGCTTACCATTCAGCTATTGGGATCGGTTTCATGGCAAATGAATTCTAACTTCTACCAATTCGTGATTTAGTGCAAGCACCAACCCTATCCTCACACCTGAATGGATGGACCTCACTGGTCACGACTTCTCACTAGAACTTCAGTGGTAGGGTACTGCTGAATTGTAATACAACTTCCAGTCACAATGTATTGCTCATAATCATATCGATGCATTCTCACGACTTCATAATCTTCAGTGTGTACCTTCGAAAATTGAAATTTACACATTCATAGAATGAGGCTGAATGGAGCAAGGATATAAATATGCATGAATTTTCAGTTAGTTTCTCTGAGATGCCTCAACACTAATACTTGTAGTTATACATCAAAATTATACCAATCAAGCTGTTATGTTAAATAATAAGAATTATAATTTCATAGGTGGAGAAAAAATTGTAAATTCTAAAATGTTCTTATTAATTCAGATAAACACAACACATGTCATTTCCTCTGTCTTTGAGTACCACTTTGCTTTACTTCCTTCAAAATCTGCAAAAAACAGAAATCATTTATTGTGAGACTGAGTGTTCTTGATTACTTGATTAGTTTTCACAAACGCCTATTGAGAAACTATGTGAACTTTTAACCAAAAAATTAGGCAGTTATAACAATCAGAGTATTACGCGCATATTCAGCAACTGGCCAGATGTCATACACGGTTCTTTTAGGTTTTTCCTCAGCAAGTCTTGTGAAATGGGTCTACTTTTGTATGGTGTTGTTTGATATCAGTAGAAGGTATAGTTGTCGACTCACATGTCACTTATTGACATTAATTTAAAAGACGTAGATGAACACAAAATATTCCTTCTCGCAACTTCAATATGATTGTGTACACTCATAGAATATTCTGGAAGGTCAGACGCTTGTATCAGCTGGGAACAAAACACATGAAATAAAATGCCAAGTAAATAATAAATCGCGTAACTTCAAAACATCAACAATAATGAGTATTACTCAGGAGTATTTGCCACTAAAACTACAAGCACTTGAATAAAGGAGTATCGTTCAAAATAGTAAGTGATCCAGAATATATAAATTAAAGTTAGGAGTTTCAAAAATCAACCATTAGGAACAATCGACAGTAAAGACAGACCTTTGATCTATTAGAACTCTATGCACTATACAGCTTTAGAATGAGATTATGCTAAGATGACTCTTTAACTGATCAGTATCGCATTAGTTTATAACACTTGGTGAGTTTGTTTTCCTCTAAATGATTTAAGTCATTTTGATTCTGTAGCTGCAAACTGATTGAGATCCCTTTATACAACAACAAAGAGCGCTTTTTTCCGATTTGTGACTTATTTTAATTATTAAGTTTATAACAAATCCACTTGGTCGATGGACAAGTTAATCCAATGAGAGTTCTATTCATGACCAATGCACAGTCACGACATAGTGGAAACTATCAATGTGCCATTCTAGACGGTGTTGACACGTTAAACAGGCGTAGAAACCTGATAGGTGAAGGTGAGTTAGCTTATGTCACAAAATGAAAGAATATTTCACTTACAAGTGGATTTATTTTTATGTTATACAGTAAGTACTACGATAGGACATGAAATTATACATGAAAATTAGTCTTGCTTGGGTAACGTCTATTCATCTGTCAACATTAGTTGACTCTGGATTATCCTGTAACATTCTGCATGCTGTGAATGTAATTCCTGTCTATAACACGACAGAGAATTACTTGCAAGTGAATATCTGAAGTAATGAAATATTTCAGTCGATGGCTAGACTGAACATCGTTCGCACACAGTAATAAAGATGGACTGATTGAGGTATAACATGTTGTCGTTTCTTGTCAAGCTGACTTCTTTAATTTATCCGAAGGTACTGTCATGATATCAGCTTTCAAAGTACGGCTTAAGGGACTCTTTGAAGAAAAATGAATAGATTCATAGAGAGAAATCATAAGGTGTGTCACTTTCGCAATTATATAAAACAGGTATGATAATGTCCTAAATTTTAGTTAGATTTTACGTATCTTCCTATTAGGAATGCTATGAAGGCAATAAACAAACTTTCCTACAGTCGAATGCAATCTTTCGCTCAGTCTGATAGTGGAATCACTTATATTGATTGATTCAAAGGTTTATGGCACACTGGTATCACATTTTTAACACACTAAATGGAGAGCTACAAAAGCTAACTAAATCAACAATCAAATTACCTTTTCCTGTGTCTACGATATCTTCTTAATTGGCATCACTTTGTAGTTAATAACAAATAGCGATGTGTTCTCTTTTAATTTGACATCCTCTTTTAGTTCCACAGGCAAATTCTAGCTAAATAACAAGACGTTGAACTACTTATTTCCATGTGATCAGTAAACAAACTTGTGGATTGTATAGAAGGATAGAAATCTGCTGAATTATATTAGATATTTACTTCAATGTGTGTCAGTGGTTCGGTGATAGGATGGCCGCTAACCGTATATATATATATCATTGAAAAATGATTCAGGGGAAT